CCCAAAAAAAAAAAAAATTCTGATAGCAATTTTAAGCTGGATCGACCCGAAAGCCGAGGTCAGTTCTGAATTACAAATCTGTCTCGGTGCGGATTGGAACCGAAGACCTTCACACAGTCAGGCGAGAATTTAGCAATTAACTCTTTGAGTCCCAAAGAACACAGCATACCTTCATAGTATCCTAGCTAGAAGCCCAATGCACGCATGATACACCGATTTTATGTCTCTCTTTGCTGGGCTGATGCTAAACCTTCTGGGACTCAAAGAGTGAATGAAGTATGGCGGCTTCCGGTGAATAACAGGCTGCTATATGATTTGCCTTCTGTGTCCTTCAAGCGAGCTTTGGGAAGTTCAATGTTCTTCGACGCCCCCCAATCTTGATGACCGCAGCTAGGCTGGTTACAGTGACCACAGATAACACATTGTGGTCATAATTCCCTAGCTGACCACTCAGACTCGTGATTCCACCCTCCCGGAAACGGGACAATGGGAAGAATGAAAAATGGACACCAATTTCAGTTGACAGAGACTAATAAGCACAAACATAACCCGCCTGTTTGTGGACATGAGACTGACCTTTCGGTGATATTCATCTTGACACTGAGTTCGGTTTATTTTTAAACTCATACGCTGATTGTTTGAGGGAGGGATGTGAAGCCATGAAAACGAATTCAGTGTTTGAGGGAGGGATGTGAAGCCATGGAAACGAATTCAGTGTTTGAGGGAGGGATGTGAAGCCATGAAAACGAATTCAGTGTTTGAGGGAGGGATGTGGAGCCGTGAAAACGAATTCAGTACCGTTACCAGCAATCGCAATCTTTGTCACATATCACGTTTTTTCTTCTTCGCGTTCACCAGCTGTAAACTCTGGCGGAAAGTTCTGGTTGTTCATCCACTTCTGGACTGCAGTCCTGTTCCAGAACCCGAGTGTTGCGTGTGCATCAGTTTGACAGATCTGACTAATTTGTACGCAGACTAATGGTTTCTTGCTTCTCAGGCAGATGCACTCCAACTTCGAAAGAAGCTCGCAATTAGTCGACTCTTACGACATGCTTTTTGGTAGGCAATGTGTCTATTTTTGTTTTCCCTATAATAGGGACCCAGAACCCACACTGGGAGTCACATATCATCATCAAGTGTCTTGTTAACTGGCGTGGGCTATCATGCCGTTACACATCTTAATGTCCAACTCTGTGTTACATTCTGGCTGCTGTTTTCTTCCTCTTTCGCTATTTCCTCTTTAAGTGCATGCCATGTGGCGTTGGTAGTCATGTCATATCCACAACCTTCTGTCTCGTGTACTTTCAGTAAACTCTGAGACAGATGATCCTCCCTGCCATGATGTCAAACTGTCTAACATCTTTTCTCCCGATCTCCCTCTGCCTCTCCTCCCCTCCAGCTTTCATACTCTCTCGATGTACTCCAGCTTTCTCCTTCTCAACACACGACGAAAGAATATATATATTGTCTCTTTCTGATGTAAGCAATCAGTTCTCTTGGTGAGTCAGTTTCATACTAGAAATCCTCATCTCTTTTTATCTGTCCAGTGTATTCTTATCATTTGTCTATAAAACCACATCCTCGCAGCTTCCAAATAAGTTTTCACTAATTTACCAACCGTCTATGATCATAACCATATATGATGATAGGATTTATAGAGTTTGTAAGAATTATCTTTCTCGTCTCAATTGACAAAGAAAGATTACATAAAAAATGCCTTATTTTGTAAAATGCTGCCTTTGCTTGATCTAATATTCTACATTTAACTTCTTTAACACATCAGGGTACGCAAGTACTTAAACATGTCAACTTGCTTGGCGTTTATCCTGCTCCAAACAATATACTGCGTCCTTTTTTAGTTCTAAATTTTTCTTTAATTTAAGCCCTAATCTGGCTCTTGCCAGGGACCGTAATATAGGCAGGCCATAAATATGGCCAATTGTCTGAACGCGGTTTCTGGGACCTCTCCACGGCTATCCTCATCCACATGGTGGCACTTTGTGTCATCGGGTGTTTATCGCTTGTGTGATGTCCTGGTGGGGTAGAAAGTCAGCCAGTCAGTCGGCGTTTATCACTTTCACTTTAATGTTGGATTTTGGAGAGTCAATGTTTTTTATAATTACCAATACTTATGTTTTTCTGGTGTTCAAACTAAGACCCTTGTGTTCATTTTCCGTTACAGTTATATCAATAATTTCTTGCGTCATCCATTTTCAGCGATCAAAACGATATCGTCAGCATATTGAAAGGTGTTAACAATATAACCACCAACTGATTATCCTGGCATACCATGTATGGGTGTAATTATTATTTCCCTGTACAAACTGAAAAAATCTGATGATAGTAAACATCCCTGCCTAACGACTCGTTTAATGTTTTGAAACGTTCCAGCTTGATTGTCAATCCTTATGGCTACATCTTGTGCCATTTTACGTTTTTTTAGTCTCAAATCTTTACCAATAATGTTAGAGATTTCCAGAATTCGAATAATTTCTTTACGCTTCACTTTATCAAATGCTTAAATGTAATAATAAATATAAAAAAAAAAAAATATAAAAAAAAGCACAAAGACAGATCTCTGTTCATTTAAACCATTCTTCCTGAAAGTGTTCTCAAGATAAATATGGCGTTGTTTGTACCTTTACCGTCAACAAAACCACACTGCTCTTCTCCAGTTTTTGGTTTAATTTTGCACCTTATTCTTCTCATGATAATTCTCATTAATATTTTAGTTTCACGACTCATTAAACTAATTGTTCGATATTCTCCACATTCCACTGCACGGGCGTTTTTGTAAAGGTATGAAAAGAGAATTTCAAAACGTCATCAGGTACGTGTCCACTGTTATAGATATAACTGAATAATTTTGTCAAAACTTTTTAAACCCAGTTCTCCGGCAGCTCTTAATTCCTCAGTCAGGATGTTATCTGACCCTAAAATAATTTCATTTCTCCATGTGATTTATAACATACTAGCTGTACCCGGCCACGCGTTGCTGTGGCGTAATTTGAGATAGTCTTTGATCCCCACCCCACCCCCCCCCCCCCCACCCCACAACTAAATCCACCTACTACACTCTCCCTCATCAAAGGTTTTTAGAAAAGAAAGACAATGGAAATCGCACCTGTCTAATGAAGTTAATGACGCAGTCAATGTCTGCGCCGACGTCGAGATAGTCCTTGATTGCCCCCCCCCTCCCCCCCCCCTCGCCATCGAAGGTTGTTTGAAAAAAAAAAACAGAAAATAGAAATCGTGTTTAATATGGTTATTGTGGCAAAATATAGAGATAGTCTTGTTTGCGGTACCTACTCTATGTATTAAGTCGTTGGCTGCACGTAACTCGCCGGCGAATGGCGGAAGCCTTGCGTTCTGACTACGGCGGCGCATGCGCAATTACTAACGTGGCTATAATTAGAAATCACTAAAGTTATAAATATTAGTTGCGAATATTATGGCATAAATTGTGGTCACCTATCTCTAACAGTGACAGGTTGAATTTCAAACCACGATGGTTCAAAATCCGGTATCAAAACAAACATATCCTGAAAATTTCAGCTAAATCGGTTCAGTAGTTTCCGAGTCTATAGGGGGCAAACAAACACACAAACATTGATTTTTATATATAGAGATTCCACTTCCGCTTTCAGTGTTGGTGGTCCTTCCCAGTACTCGTGACTCTCTATGTCTGCTCTGCTGTTATCATCGTATTGCTCTTTTATATACTCTGTCCACCCTTTAGTTGTCTTCTCTTTGTCCAATAATATTTCACCTTCTTTTATTTTCAAGCAGCAACTTGCAGTATATTTTATAAAACCAGACAGTTCTTGTATTCTTTTACACGTCTTGTGTGTTCTTACCTTGGTTCTTCAGTTTCTTTGCACTTAATATTAAGCCAAGCGTCTTTGGTTGTATTACATTTATGTACAATCTCTCTATGTATTTGTGTAAATTCATCTTCACTGTGATTATTGTTTCCTCTAATTTCCTTCAAATGTAAAATTGTCTCTGTACTCCAATTTTGTTTCGCTGTCTGCTTTACTTCTGGTAATATTTTTTTTTTTTAATTGTATGTTGTAATGACTCTTTTAGCATATGCCCATTGTTCATCTATACTGCTAATCTTTTCAAAAGATAACAACAGACTCAGAGAGCGTGCTGAGAAAGGTGAAACAGGTATACTCCATGCAGAGTGGCAAGCATCGCTTCAGAGAACCTATGTAGTTAGCGCCACTTCCATGTCTAAAGGAATCATAATTTGTGGTTATCATAATTTATGGTTATCATAATTTATGGTTATCATAATTTATGGTTTTCATAATTTATAATTATAATAATTTATGGTTATCATAATTTATGTTAATCACAGGTTTTACCGAAGAGTTGGGAAATAAACAGGCAGATGACAAGCTTGTTGTCGTAGGAGCACTTTTAGGGGGGGGGTTAAGGGGGCGAGTGAAAAATGCAGAGGCAAAGTCGGATCATCACGATCTGAAAGGATTGGTGCTTCGAAGAGTGACCAGGGAATATGATCAACGCTCAACACTCAGGGAAAAAGTAAGACGGATATACAATCACACCGTTACTAGTACCTTATGAATTGGAACTCTGTGCGTGCTGCTGAAAATAGAGCGGGGCGCTTATGGGAATGTGCGGAGTACTGTGATGCCGATTCTCAGTTTAACATTGATTGATGGTTAGTTAGTTGCGCATCCTTTACAGGACGTTGCAGAACCAACCCCAGCAGCCCCTGGCTGTTGTGTGGTTTCTCTAGGCAAATTTACGTCCAGTAGTTTGCCAGTGCCACTGGACGGTCAGCTCCCTTATACCACTGTCGAAACCAACACAAGGCGTATGGCCCGCAGCTGGGATCGAAGCCGGTACCCCGGCATTACGAAGCGTTCGCCTCGACTTAGCCACAGAGCTGACATTTAAACATTACACTTATGTAACAACACTGACCTCATATACACTAGAAACAGACATAGCGGTAGTGTACTGACCCTTGGTTCTGTTAGCCCGAGCATGTTCGATAACTCCGCCACGTCCAGGCTGCTGAGATAGTGCGTCTGTTTGAATCTGTCTTCAAGCACGACCACCTGGTGTTGTGTGAAAGGTACCCGTGGATTGCGACCTAGTTTTCTTTTCTTGGTTCCCTCTTTTTGTTTGTTTCCTGCGAAGGTAATGGTCAGATCAAAATTTAAATATAAGTCACTGAAGGAAATACACTGTCACGTCGACTTATTAACCGCTTAACGTATCGTAGCACAGGGCAAATTAGAACAATCAGTGAACAAATGGAATCGAATTCAAACTGCTATTCCCCAGCTCCCACCAATGTCTTCAATAACGATGGCATTAAATAATGATTTTAGAAGGATTTTAGGAAAAACTACGGGTGCAGACAACAGTTAGACAGGTTTCAAAAACTTCCTGGCCAAAGAAACGGAAAAAAAGCCACCGATGACAACTGATGACAATTTTTTTTTAAACAGTTTAATGGGATGTGATTTTCACACTAGATACATTTGCATCTTGTAAAACCAAGGATTTGATAAAGTTCACATTTGTAGCGGATTACAAAAAGCACAAACAAATTCTACTTCTCACCGTTGATCCATTTCTTTGCATTTTCCTAATTTATGCGATAGCAATTGTATATTATATTATTATTATTATTATTATTATTATTATTATTATTATTATTATTATTATTATTATTATTATTATTATTATTATTATTATTATTATTATTATTATTATTATTATGTTCTTATTTTTATTATTATTTGTAATGGGAAATTTGGTTTCGAGATAAGAATTTGTCGAAATACGAACCAGTCAGGAAAAAAATGAAGTTCCTGAAATCGAGGTACCACTGCATGGGTCACCTGAGGTCAGGGGTGCTGGATCCTGCGGGTTCGAGGACACCTTAGGACTCCTTTCCCCAATCCTAATCACACCCCCCTCCCGACACTTTCTGCCACGTGTAGAGGGTCTCCTTGTAAATTTGTATTCATACGTTTTCATATTATAGCAAATATATTATTATATTTGTTTGCCATTCATCAAGTTTTTTTTAATCGATATATTTTGTATGCACTCTCTCTCTCTCGCTCTCTCTCTCTCTCTCTCCCTCTCTCTCTCTCTCTCTCTCTCCCCTCCCCCACCCCCTCCCAATCCCAACCGTTATTTTAATAGACATTTTGTTTTAAGTACACATAATTAAGGCTTTGGCGTTGCGAGTCCGACTCGTAATTCCAACATACAGCGATCCAAACCCACTGCTGCCTGTGTGGAGTTTTATCATGTTATGGGCGTCGCAGGTCGACCCAGCCTTAAATGGGTACCAGGATGTATGTCATGGGGAAGTAAAGATGGCCGGCGTAATGCTGACCACATTACGCACCCAGTGCCGATTAGTCTGTAAAAATATGTGTGCTCTTCCCATGTGCCCGATGAACCTAAAGGCGTGAAAGGGGATCTTTACTTTGCTTTGCTTACATATTACTAAAAAAGGTGGTTGAATCAGTAGTCTGTAATCAGCTCCTTTATGGACAGTCTTTGGTGAGTACCGGTACCATTCTTTATACAATGAATATCTATATCCAACAATAAGAAAGAGACAAACACTGTTCTTTGGCCACATAATGAGAAAAGAGACATTGGAGAACATCGTGACAACTGGAAAGATCAGTGGAAAAAGGGGTAAAGGCAGACAAAGAGAGATGATGCTGGATGGGCTGAAACGATGGCATGGAGGGATTTCATCAAGAGAACTGTTCCAGGCAACCAGGGATCGTGATCTGTGGAGACGCATGAGCGTCTACGCCAGTTGGCAGGGCACATGATGATGATGATAATGATATCATGCAGAATATGTCTAAAGGGGCAACGCTACAATCTTTAACTTATCACGCCAACATTAGGGGTGCCGCCGTGGTGTAGCGGTTAGACGCTAGCCTGCTGATCTGAAAGTCGTGGGTTCACATCCCAACGGTTGCTGGACTTTGTCTTCTTTTAAATGACCCAGCCTTAAATGGGTACCAGGTAAAGTCCTTTGAAGTAAAGGCGGCCGGCGTAATGCTTACCCTAACAGTCATCAAGTGCCGATTTTTCTGTAAAGTAAAGGTCTAGCTCTAAATGCCCATAAACCCCCCCCCCCCCCAAGTTGTGGAAAGGGTCCTAACATACCCCCATCCCCCACCCCCCTAAGTTCTTGAAAGGGTCCTAACATACCCCCCCCCCAAGTTGTGGAAAGTGTCCTAACATACCCCCCCCCCCGCCCCGTTCCCCCCCCCCCAGGTTGGGGAAAGGGTCCTAACATACCCCCATCCCCCACCCCCCCCCACCCAAGTTGTGGAAAGGGTCCCAGGGGGAAGACCCCCCAAAGCAGAAAGGTTGAAGAGGAAAACTAACATACCATAACCCCATCCCCCACCCCCCCCCCACCCAAGTTGTGGAAAAGGGTCCTAACATATCCCCCCCCCCACCCCCCCCATCCCCCCCCCCACCCCCCCCCCCCCCTCCAAGTTGTGGAAAGAGTCCCTACCCCCCCCCCCCCCCCCGCCCGCCCCCCCCCCCCTCCAAGTGGGAAAGAACATAACTTCATCCCCCATCCCCCCCCCCTCCCACCCAAGTTGTGGAAAGGGTCCTAACATACCCCCCCCCCAAGTTGTGGTTAGTTGTGTCCTAACCATACCCCCCCCCCCCCCGCCCCCCCCCCCCCCCCCCCCCCCCCCAAGTTGGGGGGAAAGGGTCCTAACATACCCCCATCCCCCACCCCCCCCCCACCCAAGTTGTGGGAAAGGGTCCTAACATACCCCATCCCCCAAGTTGTGGAAAGGGTCCTAACATAACTTCATCCCCCCCCCCCCCCCCCCCCCCACCCAAGTTGTGGAAAGGGTCCTAACATACCCCCATCCCCCACCCCCCACCCCCCCTAACCCCCCCCCCCCCCAAGTTGTGGAAAGGGTCCTAACATAACTTCATCCCCCACCCCCACCCCCCCCCCAAGTTGTGGAAAGTGTCCTAACATACCCCCCCCCCCCAAGTTGTGGAAAGGGTCCTAACATAACTTCATCCCCCACCCCCCCCCCACCCAAAGTTGTGGAAAGGGTCCTAACATACCCCCATCCCCCCCCGCCCCCCCCCCCCAAGTTGTGGAAAGGGTCCTAACATAACTTCATCCCCCACCCCCACCCCCCCCCCCCCCACCCAAGTTGTGGAAAGGGTCCTAACACATACCCCCCCCCCCCCGCCTGTCCCCCCCCCCCCCCAAGTGGGGAAAGGAAAAGGTCCTAACATACCCCCATCCCCCACCCCCCCCCACCCAAGTTGTGGAAAGGGTCCTAACATACCCCCATCCCCCACCCCACCCACCCCAAGTTGTGGAAAAAGTGTCCTAACATACCCCCGTCCCCCCCAAGTTGTGGAAAGGGTCCTAACATACCCCCATCCCCCCCGCCCCCCCCCCCCTCCAATAGGATGAAAATGTGCATTTTTCTGAGAGGCAAGAAGTCAACAGTCTGCGCACACATATGCCATTGCTGTTTTGAAACAAAACTGAAGTCCACAAATGGACGAACAACCAGAAAACTTTCCGCCGGAGTTTACAGCATGTGAACACGGAGAAGAAGAAGCAGAAAACTACCAAATGTAGATTACTTAAAGTAACAACTTCGTAGAATCTTCTTCTTAGAGTCCATTAGAGTGGCATTGGTAGTCATGTCTGTCCACATCCTTCTGTCTCTTGTACATTTTCAAATAATTCTGACACAGACGATCTCCGATGCTATGATATCAGCCTATCCGGCATCATCTCTCTCTCTCTCTCTCTCTCTCTCTCTCTCTCTCTCTCTCTCTCTCTCTCTCTCTCTCTCTCTCTCTCTCTCTCTTTCTCTTTCTATCTCTCTGCCTCCATCGGATTCTTTCACCTCTAATTGTCCCACTGTCATTGTGTACCCCAGTTTTTCCCTTCTAATGACATGACCAAAGAATGTACATTGTCTCCTTATAATGTGGACAATTAGATCAACTTGTTAAAATGTAGTTTGAGTTTTTGAGGTTTTGAACAATGGATCAACATTTCTTTGTAGTAACCCCAAAAAAGCTCCGTTCTTTTTCTAACTCAAGCCAAAGAAGCTCAGCACAGTACTTTAGCACCGGCGAGGATCCTGAAATAATTTGGGTAGTCTTTTAACTCCAAATTTTGCCCGGGCAGCGCCGTTAGGTTACTCTTTTCGATTTCCAGCTGCCAAGGGATTTTGTACGTGTGCAACAATGCACACGGGCGTCCAATCTCACTACCCAGAGACCAGGGAGAATTATTAGAAGTCCAAGTCTACGTGAAAAAATCCAAGCCCTTACCGGGGATTAAACCCGGAACCTCTAGCACTCGAGGCGGACACCGTGCCTCGAGACCCCGCAGCTCCCCTCTTAGAATTTAATAAGGCAAAGCAACAGGAGCTTGTCACTGACAAGAGTGAGCGAACTGGGAAAAGTATAGGTCAAATTAATTATGGGAAAAGTGATAGGAAACATTAATTGTGGGAAAAGTGATAGGAAACATTAATTGTGGGAAAAGTGATAGGTATAATTAATTATGGAAAAGATTATTGGTAAAATAAATTATGGGAAAAGTGATAGGTCAAATTCATCATAGGAAAAGTAGTAGGTACAATTAATTAAGGGAAAAGTGTTAGTTCAGATTAATGACAGGAAAAGTAATAGGTAAAATTGATTATGGGAAAAGCGATAGGTAAAATTTATTACGGGAAAATTGATTGGTAAAATTAATAATGGGAAAAGTGATAGGTGAAATTAATTATGGGAAAGTGATGGGAACAATTAATTAGAAGAAACGTAGTAGGTAAAGTGATAGGTCAAATTAATTATGGAAAAGTAATAGGTAAAATTAATTATTGAAAAACTGATAGGTAAAACTGTTTATGGGAAAAATGATTGGTAAAATTAACTGTGGGGAAAAGTGATAGGTAAAAAATTAATTATGGGAAAAAGTGATGGGTAAGATTAATGAGGAGAAAAGTGGTAGGTAAAATTAATTATGGGGAATGTGATAGGTAAAATTAATTATGGAAAAAGTGATAGGTAAAATTAATTATTGGAAAAAGGTAATTGGTAAAATTAATTATGGGAAAAGTGATAGGTAAAATTATTTATTAGAAAAGTGATAAGTAGAATTAATTATAAGAAAAGCGATAAGTAAATTTAAGTATGGCAAAAGTGATAGGTAACATTAATTATGGAAAAAGTGATAAGTAAAAATTAATCTTCTTTTGAAGTCGGAGTGCATCTGCCTGAGAGGTAAGGAACCAACAGTCTGCATTCAAGTGAATCAGATCTGTAAAACTGATGCACACGCAACACTCAGGTTCTGGAGCAGGACTGCAGTTCAGAAGTGGACGAACAAACAGAACTTTCCACCAGAGTGTACAGCTGGTGAACGCGAAGAAGAAGAGGAAGAAGAAGAATTATTGGAAAAGTGATAAGTAAAATAAATTAACTCAAGACTTACTCTGTAGCTTTGGCGGGTGGTAGCGCGTACACTGAAGCCATTGATACTTCGGAGTAATGATGTCAACATCGGATAATTCCTTGCCCGTGTTATCTGTAGAAACATCTGTAGTCTCTTCTTTAACATCGTCTACGTTGATAATTTCATCTCCACTGTCGTCGTCACAAAAAGTATTCTCTACTGAAAAACCAGTTTCTTCGTCATTTCGGCACGATGATGAAACGTCGCCGGTTAGACCCAGGATACGCTCGATGGAAAATGTCAAATAAGGTTTAACGGGAATGTTTGATTGTCTACAAGCTGGCTGGCTATCTGGGGTAGGAGACCTGTTAAAGCTGCTGCCTGTATCAACGGAAGGAGGGGTTCTAACACTATTTCTGAGCTGACAAGTGGCAGTGAGAGAAGGTAAACTGGATGACATGTCTAGCGGGTCGTTGTTGTTGTTGTTGTTGTTGTGAGAGAAGACTGGGTTTTGCTGCCACACTTCTCTAACACCGCCGGGTACTAAACAGTATGGGAATCCGTCACTGACATATACGTTTGTATATGGGGTAGGTAACATTGTCTGGCTGTAGATGATTAGATCGTATAAAATACTTCCATTTTTCAATAAAATTTTACCTGCAGCCCAAATATGGCACGCAGTTGTTCGTTATTTTGAAGCCCCTCTCTGGCTGTGGTCGGCAGCCCTAATATAACCCAACCTGTGGGTTTGAACGGGATTCCTGGGACCTGTCCCCGGGTGAACCTCATTCGAATAGTGGCACTTTGTGTCACCTGGTGTTTATGGTTCAGTGTGATGTCCTGGTGTGGTTAAACATCAATCAGTCAATACAATTTTCACAGCTTGATATCACAACGCACTTCCTGCTTTAATTTCCCAATTGGTAGTATATATATATATATATATATAAGCGATGAGTTATTTTACCCTATCTATGTAAAAATAAACAAATCCTTTTCCAATTAA